TATTTGTTCCAGTTCATTGAAAAATGCGGTTGGTAATTTGATAGGGATTGCATTGAATCTGTGTATTGCTTTGGGCAGGATGGCCCTTTTAACGATATTAATTCTTCCTAGCCAGGAGCATGGGCTGAGTTTCCATTGTTAGTATCCTCTTTAATTTCTCTTAAGAGTGTCTTGTAGTTTTCAGGGTATAGGTCTTTCACTTCCTTGGTTAGGTTTATTCCTAGGTATTTTATTCTTTTTGATGCTATTGTGAATGGAATTGTTTTCCTGATTTCTCTTTCTATTAGGTCATTGTTAGTGTATAGATTTCTGTGTATTAATTTTGTATCCTGCAACTTTGCTGAATTCCAGTATTAGTTCTAGTAATTTTGGAGTGGAGTCTTTAGGGTTTTTTATGTACAATACCATGTCATCTGCAGCACTTTTTTTCTTTTATAAAAACTAAACCTGATGACCACAGACCACAGAACATGTGTGGGAGAGCTTGTCAACCCATCATTTGTAGTTGGAAATGAAAATCCCTCATGTCTTGAGCAAGACGGTAACTTGCCTGGGTCTTGCGGTCATTTGGGTGCAGAGCAAGGCCCTGAACTCTCTGATTCCAGTGATGCCTCCTGCACCCCCGTCAGCCACCCCACTCTCGCCATTACCCCCTGGTCACAGAGAGGGTGCTCTCCCACCGTGCAGCTTCTCCGCTCTGCCGAGCCCTGAACGCCTTGTCTGGGGACGCTGCCCTTCCCCTCCTCAGGCTCCTGGTCCTTATCTCCCTGAGGCGACTTCCTTCTGTGGGAATGGGGTGCAGGGTGATCTGGGGTTTGGCCAGTTTAGCAAACCTAAGACGATTTAGACAGCAGCAGTGGCCCCGTGGCCTGTGGGAATGTCTCCCTGGTTGGGACTGGAAAGGAAAGTGTGCACTTGTGGACATGGCAGGAGGTGGGGTGTGTCACCATGCTGACTGTGGTGGGGTTTGTGGGGCCCCCGGTGGAGGACGTTCCCTGGAGGCACAGGGGAGCAGCAGGGGGAACACAGTCACCCCGAGAGAGGCTGGAAGCGCTGCCTGGGGCTCCCTGGTCTCCTTCCCCTGATGAAGTGTGGATGCCTTGTCCCTGGGTGGGTTGGGGGGCTGGCAGGTCAGCCTTAGGCAGAGTGGTGTACAAAAGACCTCTGACAGTCCCCACCCTGTCAGAAGTGTCACTGGTCCCAGATCTCCTGCAGAGAGCAAACATGTTCTCCAAACCCCTGATCTTGGGGTTATGTCGGACTTGCGTTGGGCCCTGGCATCCAGATCTGGTAACCCTGGGCTGAGCTGACCCCCGAGACAGGCCAGCGGACCAAAGGAACGGATGAAGATGGAGTCTTAGGGAGGGGTGGATGGTAGCGGGGAGCAACACAGGGCTCTGGGGGAAGTGTGCAAAGGGTCTGAGAACGAGGGGGAGAGGACGCTGAGGGTGGCAGAGGGGTGGGAAGGCTCATCACCAAGTTGGCTGTTCTGCTCAGGCCTGGCATTGCATTTCTGCCTGCGTCTGGAGGAGACAGCAACCACTCACAGATTTATTCAGGCCTTTGTTTAGCCATTTATTCCTTCAACACATATTTATTGAGCATCCACAGGCACCATTCTGGGGGCTGGGGTTACATCTGTGAAACAAAACAGACCAGGACTTTTGCCTCATTTAGTTTCAGTTCTTATGGGGAAAGACAGGCAATAAACAAAACCAACAAGTAAATTATATCATATATTAGAAGGCTATCAATCCCAGGGAGTAAGCAAAGCAGAGAAGGGACAGGAAATGCCTGGTCAGCATTTACATATACATGTGCCAATGCTTGATATTTGTAAAGAAGCAAGGAAACATTACTGCATCCTCTTTCTTTTAATGATATTTCCTTGGGTATGTTTCACATGGGTCTGGAACCTTCCACCAGACTGTTCATGCTGCATTCTATGAAGTCAGAGCTGGAAGCTGGAATGGGCTCCGAGGATGACCCTAGGGACCCAGGCTGGCACGTGAGGGTTTCAGAACTCGGCGGGACAACTGGCCATGTTAACTACATGCGGGACTGGAGTCAGGCCTCAGGGGCCCCAGCCCCAGCTGCATCTTTGAATTGGGGCCCTGGCAGTAGAAACAGTGGATGCCCCAGCTGTGAAGTGTGAAAGGCAAGCCTGTCATGAGTGTGCACTTCGGGCTTAGAAGGCTGGAGAATGAGCCGCATGCCGATGGCCTGGAGTTTTACCCCGGCCCCCCAGTCGTGGCAGGTGCCCCAGTGTCCTTGCTGACCCCACCAACTCCAATTGCAACCCCCAGAGTCCTCTTTGGCTTATGGCCTTTTCTCTTCAGTGATGCTCAATGGCTACATTTCACATACGTAGTTAGAAAGGTGCTGTTCTTGGTCACCAAGCATGAGCTCTGAGAGGACTGGGGCCATAACTGACTCGGCCTGCTTCTCCCGCAGGTATGACCGTGGAAGTGCTCGGTAAAGGGGTGCTGACTTTGCACTTGATCTCCATGGTGTCGGGACCCACTGGCCTGGGCATCCCCACTGACCGGCCAGGGTGGTACAGATCACACTGGGCCAGGGCTCACCTGGCCACTGTCCCTGCTCTGCCACGACCTCTGTGACCTCGGACAAGTCCCCTTCCTTCTCTGGAACTCACTATCTCCATCTTTAAATGCCCAGAGAATCTCCCAAATCCTGTGGGGCACGACTGGTCTCTGACCCGGATGGGGTAGTGGGGACATCGCTGGTGGCAGGCTTATACTGCAGTTAGCTCCGTCTCTCCTTCTGCATCTAGGGCTTAGCTGCGGTTTATTAGATTCATACTTGTTTTTTCCCTGGGGAGCGTTGTTGATGAAAACCATCTCAGGAGTGAAGGGAAGCTGGGGCCGCGTTGACGGCTGCCGCTCCAAGGTGGTCCCCCTCTCGCGCAGCTGTCCCCTGTCTACGCCGGGAGGACCTGCGGCCTGTGTGGCAATTACAATGGCAACAAGGGCGATGACTTCCTCACGCCCGCAGGCCTGGTGGAGGCCCTGGTGGAGGACTTCGGAAACGCCTGGAAGCTGCACGGGCACTGCGAAGACCTGCAGCGGCAGAGCCACGACCCGTGTCACCTCAACCCGCGCCTGAGTAATGAGCCTGGGAGGGGGTGTGCACTTGGCAGGGCCCTAAGGTCTGCAAGGCCCCACTCATTCCAGGGGACAGGGCGCCCCCCTCGGGGTGGAGGGGCACTTTGCTTACCAGCAGCCTTCTAATATCTGCATCTGGATAATCTTTTTCATAGTCCCTTTACTGAGCACCCCCAGTGGGCCAAACCCTGGGAAAACAAGAACAGCACATAGTTCCTGCCCCCGGACCTTCTCTGTTGGAGCAGCAGCCACACCAGCTCAGAACTTAATTATCATAACACCCACTGGGGTGACCATGAGCAGATTTATCTGCAGCAAACTTTTAGTCTTGCATTACCTTCTCCGTCTTACTCAACCCACCATGGAATTATTTCTCCCTTTGCCAGGGGGTGTGTGCTCTGGAAATGCAGTTTATTATGTGTTTAAGTCGAAAGTAATTAGGGAAGTGTATTGGCTGCAGAAGGAACATCGCAGGGATGCTCAGAGCCGGGAGAAGGTGTTTGTGCTGGGTGTGCTGCTGAGCCAGAAGCTGGAGAGGGGGTCTCAGAGTGGGGGCTGTTATGTCCTCTGGGGTCTGGCACTGAGCAGCTGTGGTGCTCGCCCCTTCCTTCCCCCAGCCAGGTTTGCCGAGGAGGCATGTGCCCTCCTGACGTCCTCCAAGTTTGAGGCCTGCCACCACGCCGTGAGCCCTCTGCCCTACCTGCAGAACTGCCACTATGACGTCTGCTCCTGTTCCGATGGCAGGGACTGCCTCTGCAGCGCAGTGGCCAGCTACGCAGCAGCCTGTGCCTGGAGAGGCGTGCACATTGCGTGGCGGGAGCCCAGCTTCTGTGGTGGGTGCCCTTCCTGCCCGCCACCCCCACAGCCCAGCCCAAACGCCTTGCATGCCCTGCGGCTCTGCCCACTTGTCCTGTTCAAAGCACTGTCTGCCTTGCTGGTTTCAGAAACCAGCCCGGGGGCATCTGACAAGCAGGGGTTGTGGGAACTGTTCATCTGCAGCCACTTTTCCCTCCCATCTTCCAGCAGGACAGGGTGGTGGGAACTGGCTCTCCCCTAGGACAGGCTTGTTCCTTGGACCCCAGACCCTGGAGGCCTGCCAAGTCCTTGGAGTCCCTGCCAAGCAGAGCTTTCCTGTGGCTGCCGCCGCCTAGTGT